GGTTCTGCAAAACACATAACAAAACAACAGGCTGAAATGTTGGAGAGCAGGTCATTAAGATCTGCTTGACTTGCCTTGTGCCAACTCACGGGTCACAATGGTCGTGATTCAAATAGGAACTCGGAAAATGCACAATGGAGATGGAATGCTCTTATTTAAACTGGCTGTCTTTTCAATGTATGGAAAAAAAAAAAAAAAGAATAGCGGAGCGTTCGCCTCAAGGGGAGAAACAGCTGAGGAAGGAATTCTTACCCACAAGGCAAAGATCTTTATTTTAACCATCAGTCGCAGCAATCTGAACATGTAAGACAAAACATCTGAAGAAGAGAAGCAATAAATGCCTGGGTATACTGTTTTTCTTTTAATCACGTTTTGTTATTAATGTTTTCTAAAAAACCTCAGAGTCCTTCCTAAAAGCAAAAATGTTAATACCGGGACTGCATAAAATCAGAAAAACTCACATCGAGAACATTCAGATTTTTGATGCGGCCCAAAATGAAAATGAGTTTGACACCCCTGTCGTAGACGTTCAACAAACACGGACATTTCACCCTCCTTTTAACTAACTGCCAAACCAAACACAAAGACCAAGTAGACGTTAAACAGGTTTGGCAAATTACTAATCAACTTATTGTGTATAAACACTCAATGTGAACTGACAGCAGAAATTCTCGTGCAAGAACAAAATCTCACTGAATGAATGTAGACTCATGGAAAAAAAACAAAACGCAAAGAATATATAGTATCTCTGTCCCAAAAGTTAAGAATATTATTTTAGTAGTGTCTTTGCTGAAATATCACACTTTCAATTTCTTTAACTTTTTACTTTCACTTCAGCAAACTACTACAAAAATTAATCTGGAAAAGTCGTCAGTTTTTTTCCCTCCCACAATACAGGGCAGAAGGAAAAGACTGCTTTTTCTCATATCACACCAAACATGAAAAAAATCATTCTTCCTTCCTGACACGGATATCCGAACACTTTGAAAGTTAACAGATTCTACTCTATCGTGATCCGAGTCTCTAAACAAAACATCAGCTGATGTCAAGTCAAAAGGGTTCATTCATAAACAAGTACAGCCGGTTAGTTAGTCACACTTCATTTGTTATACTTCATGTCATATTTGTGTGTGAAAGCAGTGCTTGAAAAGAATGAGTTGGTTTAGAAAAAAATATTAAAATATATAAACCAATTATCCCAAATTTGGCATAAATCATTTAACATATTGACTATTACATTTGATACCCAAAACTTTTTTATTGTTGTTTTATATTATAAATAAGCTAATATTCTTATTGCTCTGAACATTATATAGGTTTGCTTTTTTTCTCTTTATAAAGTGACTTGTGGAACAAGCTCATCTCACCTAGTTGCTTGGTCAGGCCATCTGCTGAGGTAGCCAGTCTGTGTACCTAGTTATTATTTATCCTCATTATTTACAGAAGACATTCTTAGTGACTTCAGCTACTGGTGCCAACAATGATAATGGTAACATCAATGCTGACGTTTAACTGGTAACGGTTATTAATGTGCACGCCACAAAAATTAGACACAATTTTTATAGGTGTAAGATGACAAGAATGAACATTACACAAGTGAAGTGTTGATATTTTATGGAAGTTTGAAGTACATTGCACGTAATGGCTTAATATTTCTAAAATGAAAATTGGGCTTGAAACAAGTTGGCAATTGGGCAAAACTCATTAAAATATAGTTAGAAATGCTCTTTACTCCAAGCGCAGCTGTGTTTTTTATGTAAGATTTTTCTTCTTATTGGAAGAAATCTTGATAAAACTCTATTTTAATGTATACATTTTTGTTTTTCCATTTGAAATAACACCTGTTACTTCAAATGAATAACAGGTGTGTTGCAATATGTTTTTATCGTGACAATGCCTGAAGCATTTTCCCAACATTTACAATAGTGACATGAATTTCCACATTGTGACAACAGAATGCAAGAGAGAAAGTCTTAAAGGGTTCTTTTACACAGCTGTCAGAAGCAACAGGTGGGCGAGTCTATGGTCCATTCAACCATAGAACCCTATGGGCGCTGAAAGTTTCCCCCAGGAGGTTAAAATAAACATTAACCGCCAGGAAAGTTTAGTTGTTTTGAAACTGAAACTTTTTACAGTCTTTCAATGACTTCATACTGGTAAGCACCTGATCAAACCACATTCATGGCACACATCACTGACCTGTCAATGAACTGATCTATGATGACGATGTCACCAGGCTGAATCTCTTCCCTCAGGGAGCCACAAGCCGTGGTTACCACCAGATGAGTGCAGCCCTCTTCTCTGAGAGCCCAGATATTGGCCTGGTAGTTAACATTCGACGGCATTATGGTGTGTTGTCTCCCATGTCTACGTTCGGCAAAAATCACAATTTCATTTTATACATGTGCACACAATAGCCAACACTGGCCCTTTTCCCAAGGCATACTGTCAGCACAGGAGAGCTCACCTTGCAAGGAGCACACATTCCACATTTTTAATCTTTCCCAGTATCAAAGCATCTGAGGGCTGTACAAGCAAAACAGAAAAATCGTTCAAAATAAAGCATGAAGTCAAAACAGGACACATAAAAGGCTTACTCTTTACACCAAAGAGTGTGCTTTGGAATAAACAACTTGCCTTTCCATATGGTGTGTCAACATAACGCTCTGTTCTTCCTTCAAGAATATCTGGATCGTCAAGACCTGACCCACCAATGATTCCTATCTAAAAAGAAAACAAAGTAAAATGGTTCAGATGGACAAAGATATGAGCTGCATTTTGAGTTCATTTTGGTGGTTGCATCCAGGTGTAATGGTTTGTCTTTGCGCTTTAATATACTTTGCATAAAGAAACAAAGAACTCCACCTGCCAATGCATATTTGTGGTGAAAAAGATAACACAGCTCAGAGGCAGCAATGCAACCACCACTATGATTGACAGAGTGATACACGCTTAGTTTGACAACTACTTTGTCTTGCACTTTTCTGCTAGGACCACTGGCTCCATCCCAACTGTGAAATTAAAACTCCACCGTGTTCCAAATTATTATGCAAATGATATTTTCTCAGATTTTCTTAAATTGTCTATGCAAATGATGGTCAGTATAATTTTCAAGTCATAAACTATTACAGTATAAATCAAATTTTACAGAACAAATTTCCCCATGAGGACAGTATTTTTTTCAAAAATAAAAACCCAAAATGTACTGTTCCAAATTATTATGCACAGCAGATTTTCTAAACATTTTATGGGTTATAAAAAACTGTAAACGGTTATTTTTTGAATGTGCAGCATTAAGTGGTCACATGTATTAAATTCAAAAGCTATTTCAATTAAAAACATCTTAACAGACTGAGTTACATGTTAACATAGGACCCCTTCTTTGATATCAATTGTACAATTCTTGCATCCATTGAACTTGCGAGTTTGTGGGAAGTTTCTGTTTGCATTTCTTTGCAGGATGTCAGAATACATTCCCAGAGCTGCTGTTTTGATATGAACTGCATCCCACCCTCAGATCTTCTGCTTGAGGAAACTCCAAAGGTTCTCAATAGGGTTGAGGTCAGAGGAGGATGGTGACCACACCATGTACATACAAGACATGTCCACCTTGGCCTAAGGGGTTTATGCTCAGCTGAAGCGGTTCTGGGGTTCTATGGGTCCTATAGAAACAAAACCAGGTAGGACACCCTGTATCAGCCCATTTATCATACAATAAAGGCCACACTTTAGATTCAACATTGATCTGCAAAAAACCCTGCATATGCAAATTAGCATCATCCAAGTTGCTGACATTTCCATCAAGGCCTGCTGTTCAGCACATTTACACATTCTACTTAATGTTCTGGGCCCCAAATCTGAATGTCGACTGGATAGTAACAAAGAGTTAAACATCAACCCCATCTGGATTATGCTGAGGCTGAATAGATACTTAAGCAGGTCTGATTTCTGTGCGAGTTTCATATGGGTTGACCACATAGATTCCAAAGATTATCCTGATGCCCTTTGTGGGGGCAAAAAAAGGGTCTGAATCGCAGCTTTAAAAATGTTAATTATGAATTGCTGCAATTTAGGCACTAGACAAACTATAAAGGTGGGCCGTCGGCATGGAGTTAAAGGAGGGTTGATCCATTGTTCGTTGCAGAGTTTGACTAGGACATAAATCCCCGTCAGTCAGGATGCTGGGGGAACAAAACAGCATGGTGCGCACAGGCAGCCACGTGTTCAGCTACGGTTAAAATTCTGGTGAAAATCACCCAGTTTACTGCCAGAAATAAAGCCTACGAGTTCCCACAGATATATGCTTAGCTACGTGTTGAAGTCAGGTTACTCTGTGAAGCAGCCTGGTTCCAAAGCTAACGTCAAGACAATGCTTGTTCCTTCACTTCCAGGTTTGATATATATAATTAAGATTATATGGCTTTTCGTCCCCTTCCTTTCAGCGAGCTCGGCTTCAGCTAACAATGCTCGCAATGTAGCACGAAACAACAGTTAATACCTTTACGGGCACGGAGGACGCCATTACAGTTATCTTCTTGCAAGTGAAAGGTAGAAGGAGGTTTTGGTGAAAACAAGAGGAAGAAGCTTCACCATGAACTTCCGTCCGGACTATGAAGCGCCAGTATTTCTCTTCCTGCTCGGCGGTTTGAAAAATAAAAGCACTGCGAAAAAAACAACCCCAAAACAAAACACCACCTCCGACTCTTAGAATGTCAATTCTTTCCTTTACAAGCCAAACTTTGGTTATTTATCGTTTAAAAAAGAGGAGAAGTGAAAAAGAGTCTGGAAAATGAACGCAGAAACTCGGCAACTTAAATCTAACTGTCTGTCATATAAAATCTGTTTACATAAAGTGTTAATGGGTTTTTGTAGGCATATGTATAGGCGATTAGATCGTTGAACATGAAATGAAGGACTGCCGGATGCACCAGGGTAAATTAAAAGCATCATACATACATTTATCAAGTGGCTGATGATTCACAGTTGAATAACAACCAACCTTTAAAAGCAGAAAGGAGCTCACTGATCAATTTAAGGTTTTTATTGTGTCAATTTTATGAAGTTTCAACTCCACTTTTTTTTCTTTAAGACCTCTAAAAGGTCATGTCGTTTGTACGTAACAAGCAATTGTCTTAAAAAAGAATCACAGTAATTTAAATAAAAGCCAAAAATTTGCTTTCCAACTTTTTTAATTATTATTCCAGCCACTAGATGTCGCCGTAACTTCAGTGCCTGCGAAATCTGAGTCGGTCTTGTCCATTTTTGAGAGAAATCATTGTTACTAGATTGCCCCCTTCTGGATGGGAGACCAAGTTAAAAAAGAGGACTTCATGTAATATCTAATCTTGTTTTAATACACTTCTGTCCGCAGAAGTATGTAAAGATACAAACACGCACTGTTTTACTATTATGAAATCACTTGATTTGATTTCTAACTTATGCTAGAATAGATGAAGATCTCCAAAGAAGATATTCCTACCTCTGGTAGATTCAAATTCAAAATGATTACTTAAACTGACTTGACAGATTTCTAAGAAGGGTAGAAAAAAGTTTTTTCAGAATAAAAATATAAACGTTTATTTATCTACTCTTTTTAGATCAAGTGCCAGTAGGTGTGGCACATGTTGTATGTTTATCCTGTTTCAGACAAATGTATTGTGTTTTCAATATGTTAATCTTTTGGGAGTCTCCTGAGATTTGTTGCAACTTAAAAATAAATCAGGAGAATTACTATAAAAAATAGTAAGTGCATAATGCATCTACAAATAACCTGCTCATTATATAAACATCACCAGTAAAACATTATCCACAGTAACCCATTTGAATTAATTCTTGAACTTGATAAAAAAAAATGTCCTTTTTGAAATCCAAGTCCCATTTTAATGGTAACAACTGAATGATTGGCAGTTAAAAAAAAACTGTGCCATAATTATGACAGAAAGGCTTAAAATCCCTGAATATACAGATACCTCTACACATAGCAATTTTTCAATATTTTAACAAAATAACATCTCGCGCTTGTAAAATATACAATTCAAAAATATTTACCCCTCTACCTCGTTTGCCTTGTCATGTAAAACATCATTTAATAACACTTTACATGGTGGGCATTCCAGACAGTTTTGATACAAAATGTCATTAAAGATAATCTGTTTTGAATTGTAGAACATACATTTTTTGTCAGACAAACATCAGTGATACATGGAATTTACTGTGAAAAAACATAGCAACAATAAAAACAAAATAACTGAACACCTGATAGTTTAAAGGCTCTTCTGAAGCAAAATACTTGTGGCAAGCTCCATAATACTTAATCCATCAATTTGATTGTGAACCTTGGTCCACCGTGGCAGGGTTTTCTCCATCATCAGCAGTATTATCGATCAAAGCATTTTCAGTAGTTCTACTAACAGGGGTGATGCTGTGATTGGCAAAAGACTCATTGTCGCTTTCAATTGTAATGACATTCGGTGAGGACTTTGCTTTGCGCTCGGAACTCTTGCTTTTTTTACTTTTCTTCTTGTGCTTCTTCTTCTTCTTATGGTGGTGCTTGTGTCGCTCACCGATGACCTCTGTGCTGCCACTCCTGCTTCTCTTCCCTGACCTCTCTTTGGATCTTTTATGGTGCTTCTCTTTGCTTTTCTTCTTGTGTTTTGTCAATGACATGGAGTCACTTTGGCCACTTTGGGTGCTCTTGGATGGTTCTGCCAAATGTTTAGCTTTATATTTCCTTTTGCCGCCAGGCTTGTCATGATGAGATTTCCTTTCCGGCGAAGAGGAGCAGCTGCTGGAAAACGCTCTGGATCGAGACCGCCTCCTGTCTCGTCGGTGGGGTGAGTCCCTGCTGCGGCTCCTGGATTTAGAGCGCGAGTACTTGTGGCTGCTGTAATAGTAGGATCGTCTCTGTGTGTAGTGAGTTACGTTACCGTTCCTCTCTCGTCTGTAATGGGTGTAAGACTGGTAGCTGTGGTCGTTGTCCCTCCTTGCATGCATTCCATCACTTTTTGAGAAGTTTCCACCATGGGCATGAGAACTGAGAGTGCGTTGAGAAATGACTGGACTTTTGCTAGAGTACTTGCACCCTCTACTCTTTGAGTGTCTCTTCTTTCTCTTGTGGTCTCTCTCCTTTGATTTACGTCCCTCAATAGATCTCTCCCTACTGTCAAACTTTTTATCTTTTCTTCGACCAGTTGAAGTATTGTATGCGTTTGAGCCAAGACTTTCTTTAGAGGAGGACTGATGATGGCTATTTTTAGTTTCTCCAGCCTCACTGGAATTACTACTGTGTGAATTTGCAGGACTATAGCTGGTGAAACGAATGTGTTGAGGCTGAGGAGGAGCCTCTTGGTTCTCCTCAACAGAAGAACCATCAGAGTCAGAAGACAGATGAACCAGCTCTGGAGTCCTTTCTGTTGTAGGCTTAACATATCCCACAATAAAACAGTCATCACCGTCAGAAGATGCATAGATTTCATTGGTGCCATCAGCATGAGCAACATCTGATTGGCTATAAGATCTAATTTGTGGCAGAGAAGCACCAAACATTTGCTGTTCGTCTTCTGAGCTGCTTTCTGAATCCAAGTCCAGGACTGTCTGAAGGTCTTGCCTGCTGGGCTCCATTGTTGTTGAATACGAAGGCCCAGGGGTCTCATCGTCCCACAAAGACTGACTCAGAGTAGATCCAGAGTTCCCAGGAGGTTCCATCTCTGCAGAGTTTTCCTCATCCTCTGAAATGGCGATTACTGAGGAGTTGGAGCTGCTGTGCTCATTGGAGGAGGGTGCAGGGCAATCATAAATGGCATGTTGGTCGTAGGCCTCCATATTGAAGGGGGACTTTGCAAAATTGATGAATTCGTGCAGAAAGTGTTCTGTACGACCCTGCAGGAAAGGTCTGAGCTCTTCCTGGATGGCCCCGTCCTCCATATCGTAGCGTGTAATGCGTGACATGATGATATGCTGAACTATGTTGACCAAAGAGCCGTGGGCCCCATATAGCACCATCAGTTCTCTTTTTAGCCACGGGACGAGTCTGTGTAGGCAGGCAGGATTTCTTCTATAAAATTCAGCAGATGTGTCTCTGGAGCGCCCGCCGTCTCTCACATTCCTCACCCTTACTCCCCTTCTGTACAGCTCCCTTCTGAAGTTGATCATCTCCTGCTCCCTGACATTGTTCACGGCTCTGCCTTCACTTTCAGCTCTCCTCTTAGCCGCCAGCCTCATCATCATGCGGCGAATGTATCGATCCTGTCTCTGCTGGGGTAAATTTGAGGAAGCTTCAAACATTACTCCGTTATCTGGAGGCGGAGAGGTTCTTCTCATCTGTCGATGAACTCCAGTGAGTGTCGTTCGGTATCGAAACCGAACCCCTTCGAAATAACCAAATGAGGAATTTTCCACCTGCTGTTTCAGTTCATATTTTTGAAAGTCCTCATCTGATTTTATGCTGTGATAGATTGAACTAAATGGCTGCTTGCACAGTGGGCACTCAGGTTTGTTCTTTGACCACTCCAGAATACAGCGGAAGCAAAATTTATGGAGGCAGCGGTCCAAGTAAGACATATTATGAAATACGTCCAAACAGATGGGGCACTTGGAGTCTGGAGACACCTCTGCAGACATCGCCTTAGAGGTTTTATGCCTCCCACCCTTTGGGCTGTGCTGTAGGGCGACCTTGATTGCTGACATGATCTGATGAGAAAAAAGGAAAGTCAGGCATTTTGAAAAATTTATAGATAAAAAAAAAAAAAAAAAACAGTCATGAAACAATTTCAAAACAACACTACAGCCCTATTTTTGTAAGTTTCTTAAAGATTTGCATGACAAAATGAAGACAACTTAGTTGATGTTTCTCAGTGACTTTTTACTTTAACATCTTAATGGCCTTTGAAAAAACATTTAAAAAATATTTTAGCAGCAGAGAGAGCATAAGTGGATGAACAATTTCAATACAGTATTTCACATCCAAGCAGTTACCTTTACATCTTTACATTAGCGTGATATTGTGTTGCCATAACAAAAAAACTTATATTTGACTATTTTACTACTATTTACTATTACTTCCTTTTATTGAATGTTCTGAAGCCAATTCATATATAATATATATATATATATATATATATATATATATATATTATATATATATATATACTGCTCAAAAAATAAAGGGAACACTCAAACAACACAATATAACTCTGTGAAACTTCTGTGAAATCAAATTGTCCACTTAGAAAGCAACACTGATTGACAATCAATATCACCTGCTGTTGTGCAAATGGAATAGACAACAGGACAAAGTATTCAATGAGAACATTTCATTCATTCAGATCTAGGATGTGTTATTTGAGTGTTCCCTTTATTGTTTTGAGCAGTGTATATTTTTTTTTTTTTTTTTTTTTTTTTGCAATATCAGGAAAAAGGAGCACGAGAAACTGGAGAAATACCAGGGCCTCAGGGAGGAACTGGAGAGGGCCTGGAAGGTGAAGACCACAGTGGTGCCTGTGGTCATCGGGGCCCTCGGGGCAGTAACCCCGGAGCAGTGGCTACAACAGATCCCAGGAACAACATCAGACATCTCAGTTCAGAAATGTGCAGTCCTTGGCACAGCCAAGATACTGCAGGACCCTCAAGCTCCCAGGCCTCTGGTAGAGGACCCGAGCTCAGAGGATAAGAACCACCTGCGGTGGGTGAGAAGGGAATTTTATATATATTTACTTAAATAGTGAGCATTTATTAAAAAAAAGGAGAACATTCTTTTTTAGAGGGTAGTGTAGTTTTCGAAACTAAAACTTTAGCAAATCGGCCAGCATTCTTTAAAATAGCTACAATAAATTGCTTATAGTAAAGCTTTCTAAAGCTGTAGCAAGCCCTTCAAATGTGGAAGAAATACTGTACGTACATTTTGATAGGCAGCATTGGATTCACACACGATCAAGTGCCGTATTATAGTGTTTACATTTAAGCCTAAATAATGTTAAAGAAGTTAAAGAAAGACTGATGTCACTGGAACTAGATTTATAACAGAAAAAAAACTACCTGAAAACTTTAGTAGCTCAAAAATAATTTATTCCGTTTAATACCCCCCAAAATTTAAACCCACTTTACCTTAACAAGGTGTGGTAAGGACTACAATCATGATTCCTTCCAAGTTTAAGAAACCATAAAGAATTACGGACACGGAAATTGCTAACCCCGCAGAAAGTGTGTACTCTTCTCTTGAAAACACATTTATATTACTGGGAGGAGGGAAACAACTGGAACTGTTGTTTATGGATCAACTCTGTTAAAGTTAGCAGACTAGCTAAATTTAGCTACGATGGCTAGCAGCACTTCATCTGGTTAATTAATCGGCTTTAGGAAAAGTTGTTCAGCATCTACCTGTTACTTTGTTGAACACGTATATGGTCGAAAACCAACTATACCTTCTCTCTTTGAAGAAACTCGCTCAATCCAAGACAAATTTATCGTTGAACATTTTCTTCCTCACATTTCATAACACAGGCTTGACAACGGGTAGACCTTCTTCTTCTTCTATAGCGTTTGCTGGCAGTTTACAAACTTTGTGTATTACCGCCATCAACTGGACAGAGATGTAAATTCAGAAATTCATTTTTCCCATATATATCTTTAATTCTTAAAGTAACAAATTATATACATACTTATACACTCACTCACTCACATACATACTGAATCCTCTCAGCTAATTTTGTATCTTTTATACATTTAACGGAATACCTGTGCACAACTCCCGCTTTTCAAAATAAAAGTTATGTTATTTAAGTTAAAAAAGGTCTTTGAAATTTCTGGGAAAAAATTAAGTATTTTTAAATAAAATTCAAAGCATGACTTCAAACATGCCCTGATTTAGATTACATTTAATCAGCTAAGGAAAAGCAGCATAGAGACCATCTATACACATTATTTCATGAGCATTTCCATCTGAAGTTCATAAACCAGTTTGTTTTCCTAAAGTTTGTGCTACAAAGATATGCCATATGGCTTCATCACTGAGAATAACATCCAATCCCCAAACACATGTTTTCAAAATTCACATCTCAAATTATTTCCATACCTTATCTTGGTGAGTTTTATGAATTAACACAACTGCCATTTGACAGATGAGCAACCAGTAAATCAGAAATCAGCAAATATTTCTGGTTAAAAGAATTTTTCTACAAACATTAGAGCCATGTTCTTGTGCATAAAGTACACAGTTTATTTTCAGAATATACAGGGGTTTTTTTTACAACACAAACTCAAGAAAATTAATGAAATATTTCAGGTTCAGTGATGGCCATGTGTTTCAGGGAGACCAGGAATAACTTCACCCGTCTCAACAATGGTGTCACCCTGAGAACAAAAAAACAACTTAGACAGCAGGTCTACAACATTAAAGTGGACTAAAGAAAGACACAAATCTTTATCATTACATAAAAATACAAGTAAAAGATTCAGAATTTATTAAGAAAATAAATGAATAAATAAAATAAAAAACACACTCACAGGGAAAAGCCTGGGTTTTAGGTCCACAATGCCATAAGGTCTTTGCTGTGAAGAAAAATGACACCATTGTTTAGTTACTCCTGATCAGATAAGCTTTGATTCACTTATTGGTAACATTTATTTTTCTAAATATTAAGGACAAGAAATATAGACAGACAGTTCCTGTTACAATTACATTGAATTATGTAAATGTAATTGCAGTAAATGTAATTTTCTCTTTTTGTGTCTCTGGCCTGTACACTACCAATGCCGTTCTGGAGAATCTGCTTTTTGACATAAGGTTTTGATCCAAGTCTGTCTCTGCACTTTAATTTGCAACAGAGAGTTCATTCTGACAGCCTTACATCACTAATATGAGATTTGCACCACTCTTGATTATTTTTATTAGTAATTTTTGGTACTTGTAGATCTTCAGTGATACAAAAAAGAAAGCTCTGTAACTTTGGACTGCCTTAGACAAATAATTGCTTTACTTCACTTAAATTTTATTACTAAAGCAATTACATTTAGGTGATGTGAAAAGTGTCCTTTATTATCCTTGCATAAATACCTAAAGTTGGTTAAAAAAGAAAAGAAAAAGAAAAACAGTACAAACTGTAAAAAGTATTCAATCACTAAAAATGAATTGGGAATCGGGCAAAAATCGCACACTTGTACATAACACAACTGTTTCATCACATCTGGCAAAAAAACAACCTATCAACTACATTTTTTTTAAATGAATGTTCTTGCTTCTTGTAGTAATCAATTCTCGTGACAATCCTTCAAATGTGACGAGTTTGTGATTCCAGTGAAAAAGAAGAATGTTCTTCCTATGAAAGCCTACATTTTTTTAAAAAAAATTCAGTAAAATTTAACTTTGAAGCTTCTTTCTTTGTCTGACTGCAACAAAATGGGTTTGTTTCCATATACTGATACGAATATTGTCTTCCCTAATTGCATGTCCAATTAAAAAAAAAAAAAAAAAAAAAACACAAAATGTCACCATTTCTGTTGAACTTACAGCAACGTGGTATTTCACATAGTAGTGGGCAAGCCAGGCAGGTATCAGCAGCCGTGTTAATGTGAAAACACCACCTTTGTACACGTTGTAGGTCTGCAAATACAGAAATGCATCAGCATTAAATAAATAAATATTAAAAATAGATAGATAGATAGATAGATAGATAGATAGATAGATAGATAGATAGATAGATAGATAGATAGATAGATAGATAGATAGATAGATAGATAGATAGATAGATAGTTTCAAGACATCAAATGGTTGCATGGAACATATTGAAAGCACCTTGATAACAAAAACCTTTTCAAGATTTAAAGCCTTTTAGTTGAAATATAAATTATTCAACTCATCTATTTAAATGCGATTTTAAGACAAAAAACAAAAAGGGGACAATTTTAATTCTTTAACACCATAAATATTTACAAGTAGATTCTTCAAGTTAAACATAAAATGCCTATGGCTGCTTCAAAAGTATTCAACCCCTTGATGACAACCATCTTTAGCACTTGGTAAGACGCCATATTGCTGTCATGACCTGCTGCAAATGTGTTTCATGATCAGACACTGACTCCTGCCAGCCTTTCTGAGGTATCTCGTCCCACTTCTCAAGAGCAGACGCTTCTAATTCATGAATACTGTTAGGTTTGAATGCTGCATCCAAATTCTTCAAATCCAACCTCAAATTTTCAATTGTGTCAGCTGACCACAATTTCCACTTGAAAACTTTGAGATTTGCCTGGGGATCCAATCAATCAGTCAATCAATCAAATTTTATTTGGATGGCACATTTCAGGAGCAAGGCATTTCAAGGTGCTTTTCATCACAAACACAAAAACACAAAGTCATGTTTTCAGCAGGGGCAGCAAAAAGGTCCTGGGTTTGATTCCCGGCCCGGGAGTTTGCATGTTCTCCCTGTACATGCGTGGGTTCTCTCCGGATACTCCGGCTTCTTCCCACAGTCCAAAAACATATGGTATATGTGTTGCCCTGAACTAAATTAAACTGATAAACTGCTGAAGATGCTGTTTTAATTAGATACTTTAAGCCTAACTAAATTATTTTAAGTTTAATGAAGCGCACATTTATCTTAATGCAGCTGTATCTCAGTTCAGATCACATATATATAACGTGTTGTTGTGTTTTCACTCACATAAATTCTCCACAGGCTCTTCGGCTCCAGAAACCCGGCCCAGAACTTAGCGACAGGCCCGAGACGTTTGGGCGGCAGGACTGGCTCCCTGTGACTGAGCTCCTGGTCCTTGAGCCACTGCCTCCGGAGCTTCCCTAACTGCTGGACGCGCAGCTTCTCGTCTGGTAAGTAGCCAGACATTATTATTCTTGAACGTTCAACCTCGACAGACCTACAATGACACCATGGAGGACACTTCCCTTAGCAGACAAGAGTAGCCGGAAGTGCTACAAGAAGAAACTGACACAATGTAAGAGTTCGACTAATCTGAGAGCGACATCTACTGGACAACAACAGGAAGGAAACCGGTTGAGGGATACAGGATGGGGAAAGGGATAGAAAAGCTTTTGCGAGGATGGGGTCTATTTGCCCCTGGTTTTCTCCTAAATACACCAAAATTTAATCATTAAAAAAAGAAAATATTTAGAATACCTTACAAGTAAATACTGCATGGATTTAGGTGAAGGTCTTTGGAACTGCTGTGTTGTTTTATCATATTATTAATTTTAGCCACTAGATGGCACGAGAAGCAAAATTCTGACAAAAACGAAGAATAATATTCCATATTTTAACGGAACCCACCTAAAACTCGGGATTTATTTCAATATGTAGAACATTTTATAAGGAAGTTAACTTTCAAGAGACATATGTGACTTTTAATGGTTCTCTGCATTACACATTAATTTCTATGTCTGTGAAGGACACCTCACTTGTTAATTTTTTTTTTCATTTTTGTTGTTTGTGTGTATGTGTGTGTGTGCGCGCGCGCGTGTGCGTGTGTGTATCTGGGTGTATTTTATTTGCCCGTAAACGGGAAAATTCATTTCAGTTCAAATTGACATGCTAATAGCTGAAATAGTGAACATTTCCCCTTTTCGATCAGTTAAGATGATTAAAATTCTTTATATTTGCTAAATGAGAGAATAATGTGACAGAGAATTGCCTGGCGAGGTACTGTCTTCATTTTCTCCACATCTAGAAATGTACATGTTTTCAGTATTTAGATCTTCTATTTGAACTGTATGACTTCGTTTTAGGCACCGTTCCATAAGCTTCTCCCAATATTGTAGTTGACTACAATATTCTGATCGTAATTTTATAAATAGTTAGGTTAAAACGGAACTATAGTTTCCACAAGCCACAATTGACTAAAAAAATAATAAAAATAAAATAAAAATAAACGTACATAAGGAGTGGTTCTTTTACTTTGAAAGTAGTCGGAAATAGTCATATGACGTCTGTCCTCGCCGTTACGTTTAGCATCATGTCTTTAATTAGCTAACGCTTCCTTATTTTGAGGATTGAAACTAAACGATAATAATAATAAAAACACCGCACAATTTGCAAATGTTTCTCAACTTAGATTTTATCACTTTATAAAGGTAAGTGTCGTTTAAAACTCATGTTTTCGTCGGCTCGACGAATGAGGCTAACCATTCTGCGTAATTAACCTTGGTCGGGTTTTGTCAGGATGGTTTAATTATCATTAAACAGCGACGAGTAAAACGTTAGATGACAACATAACTTTCAAATTACTGTCAATGCTAGTTATAGGTTTAAGATCATTTTCTGGTCAGTTAAATCATTTTGTTTTTAGAAGTAGCTGGCGCTGTCATGTGAGCTAAGCGATAACAGTGAAAACCTGTCTTGACCTGCATTGTACAAATGTCACGTTAATACCATTAAAGCTGTTCCCATAGATTTCTTGGAATAGATAAAGAAGTCAAATAGGTTAATTAAAACTAATAGTCACATGATATGCATAGAGGTGCTTCTCAATAAATTAGTCTGTTACTTAAATATTTCTGTTAACTGTGACGATTTTCTGCGTACAGCCAATGAAAACGCACCATTTCAAATTAGACGATTCAATCAGACCAGTTAACTCCATTTCTTAGACATAAATATGGGCTTCATGAGTATTATGTCCAATACTTACTTAAAGGTTTTAATTTTCAAAATTTATTTTTACAAAAAGCCAAATTGCAGCGCATATTCTAATTTCCTTAGATGTGCTAAAGCTTCCTGCAACACTGGTACAACTATCAGTGTGTCTGCTTGAAGAGTGATGTTTACATGTGTTATTTAGGATGCATTTTGTGTTTCACTTTAATTGCATGGAGAAATTAGTCTGAGATAAAGTGAATCTAATGTGTCTGTATTTCTCTCATGGATTTCTTTTCTTTGTTCAGGACTGTCCCAGTCTTTGGATGGAGTCATTTTCCACCTTCTCGCTATTTTCTATAATCATACAAAGGGTCCTCAGGTTTCAGGATTCAGGTCATAGTGCAACAAAGTTGCAGAAGAATGGTCAAATATTTTTGTAGCTCCACAGACATAAAGAGCACATGGGACCATGTTGTCTCTGCCTTTTGGCAG